GTTAATATACATCTTAAAGCATCTAGAAACAAGTGCCGATTGACATCAAGAATGATAGAATACAAGATTGCGCCAATCGAGCTGAGAGTAACTGGCCGTGACGTCAATAAATACCAGAATGAGAGAGCAAGACGAACTCGACAAGAAAAAGAGGAAGCATCGAACAAAAGGCAGTATTGCCGAGTTTTCAATTTGAAAAAGCACCAAATATTTATTGGTGTATTTTATGGACTTTATATGCATACATAATTATATTGTAAGGATGCTGATTCAAATTAATAAAAATCAATGTTTTTTTGCACGACGGTCGATTTCTTCTGGCTTGATTGAAGGTGCTGCCACATATTTTGTTGTCGCTTATGATTGTGCCATGATTTTATTAAAATTTTTGTGAAGTTGCTTACCACGCTTATGATTGCTATAAATTTTGCTTCCATTTTTTTAAGATTTTATAATTTGGTGTCTTCAAACTAAAAACAAAAGCACCAAAAACGCACCAAGCACCAAACTCAAAAATGTTCGGGTTTTGAATACCCACTAAATTTGGTGCGAAAAGCATTAAGTTGGCAACAGTGAATGTAAACAAAAGTATTTTATGACGTCAGCGATTGGGTGGATGCTGTCAAATCGACGATGAGAGGGTTAGCGGTCCGCGTATGGCGCGACCTTTATTTTCTGGATCGTGGATAGAATACAAGATTGCGCCAATCGAGCTGAGAGCAACTGACCGTGACGTCAAAAAATACCAGAATGAGAGAGCAAGACGAACTCGACAAGAAAAAGAGGAAGCATCGAACAAAAGGCAGTATTGCCAAGTTTCGAATTTGAAAAAGCACCAAATTTTTATTGCTATATTTTATGGACTTTATATACATACATACTTTTATTGTAAGGATTCCGATTCAAATTAATAAAAATCAATGTTTCTTGCACGACGGTCGATTTCTTCTGGCATGATTGAAGGTACTGCCACATATTTTGTTGTCGCTTATGTCACTGTGCCATGATGTTAAAATTTTTGTAAAGTTGCGTACCATACTTACGATTGCTATAAATTTTGCTTCCATTTTTTTAAGATTTTCTAATTTGGTGTCTTCAAACTAAAAACAAAAGCACAAAAAGCGCACCAAGCACCAAACTCAAAAATTTTCGCTTTTTTAATACCCACTAAACTTGGCGCGAAAAGCATCAAGTTGGCAACAGTGAATGTAAACAAAAGTATTTTATGACGTCAGCGATTGGGTGGATGCTGTCAAATCGACGAAGAGAGGGTTAGCGGTCCGCGAATGGCGCGACCTTTATTTTCTGGATCGTGGTTATAGAATGTACTGTGTTTTTATAAAAAATCAACGAAAAAAATGTATCACGTAAAACATTGTGAATATTGTAAAAAAAAATAAGAGTGTGATATTTAGCTGAGCGCCACTGTACATACATATGCACATAGTTTCATTTAAAATAGGACTACTTTCATGTATTTTATAGGACTATTACTTCATTTCGAGGCAAGGAAGAAACAATCCGTCTGGAAAGTTGTATTCAAAGTATAAAAACCAAAAATCGAAGCACCGAAAGGTTGAAGGTTTATCTGAGTCGTCTGAGAGCAAAGATAAAAACTATGCTAACAGATCGCTTGTCCAAACTCCAGAAGTTGATGAGTCGATTTCCGAAGCATATAAAACATCCTTAAACAGAGACTGTGCGGATTGGGCCGAAGTTTGCGACAAATGGAAGAAAACCTTTCATTTAAGGCAGCGAGACCTATGTAATTTGAGTCCTTTGGATTTTTTTCAAGCTTGGTCAAAATTGTCACATGCACAGGCTTCTGATTTGGTATGAAAAAACGTTTAATTGTTTTTCGTAGCGATTTTATTTATCCATTTTTATGGTAACATTTTATTACAATTTATGGTAACTCAGAATGGAATACCTGGAATTAACCGTGTACTTTCCGTTTGAAATTTACAGATTGAAATTGATTTTCAGTTCATGTATCCTGAGAAAACACATTTATTCCTGGTAAGTGGGAAACTTTTAAAGCAAAAATTATTAATTACTATGAGAAAAACATAAGCAACGAATACTGTAGGCAAATACCTGCTACAGCTAAATCGTCAAATAATAAAGGTATATAAAATAAAATTTTAATTCATTAGGAAAATATTTATTTCCTTGTTTTACAGATGTCCAGGACTATTTAATTACAATTCTTCTAAATGCTGTATTACCTTCCGGCGCCAGATTCAAAAGCGAAAGCGGTAAAAAAGCCAAGAAAGTAACTATAGTTGATTCTCAGGAAAGTTTGGTTTTGCGGCTCCCAACTTTGAATTATTACCAACGGCAGGTCAATGCCGTAATTAACAAATACTACTCAGAAGGGTTAACCATACAACCTTTTTTGATTGTCGAAGGGCTGTCAGATACAAATATAAGCGGTTTCTTTCTGTACCTTGATAATAATTTGCTTAAGTTTAATTCGTTCATTCAAAGCATAGATATTTGTTTTAAAATATTTCAAATAATGAATCTTAAATATCCAGAAGCTTGTCAGGACCCCTGGCTTTTTATTGAAAATTTTTTTTTTCTAACTTAAACAAAGTTCGACTTCTAATCGTCAAATATTACATCACTTGTAAGCTTTTTGAACACTGCTTAGAAAATAACGGAAAGATGTATACTTGTTTTCGTTGTTTAAAAATCTTTGCAGCACCTGCAATTTTGATAGTTCATTTTAAAAAAGATCACTTATTAACACGAAAACTGTTAAAAATACAATGTATTCAAAACAACTGTAATCAAACTTTTACTAATTTTTCTTATTTTCGCATACATTTTGAAAATAAATAAAACAGATGACTTTCGCTGTGAAACAAGTGAATTGGTAAATATCGACTTGTAGTGAGCTAGTTTCTAAGGGAACACGATATAAAGCAAAGTATTATTTGTCTATAAATAGAATAGGTTTTGAATTATATAAAATTAAATGTTTACTTATCCATAACGAAAATGCTTTTGTACTTTGTCAACAAGTAGAGGTAAAAACATTTGAGAGTCATTTAAGATCAAATGAGATAGGTTGTTTAGTTGATAAAATATATTTAAAACCAATTGAAGAATTTACAAGTCCACCTTTACATATATATCCTACAAATAATGGAAAATCGTATGTAAGAATGAAATATCTGTAAGGATACAATAATAACAAGTACACTGAGAAAAAGGATTAGTTTCGACAACTAAAGATATTTAGTTCCCGAATTTTGACAACATTTGGGAACTGTGACCAAGGATTGGGAACTATTACCATGGGTTGGTAATTATAACTAAATATATTAAAGCTTCTAATATTCATCTAGGTTGTACCAAATCGTTAATTTAGTTGAAGGGTTTGGTAAATACTAATAAATATTTTTTTAAGCATATTTCTACAAATTCCATTCAACTTAAAGTATGGTTCATAAAAAGATGCCATTAAGCTCTGCTAATACAGATAAGCTTTCATTCAACACATGGATTAGTCATAGTTACCAAGTCTTAGTTGATCGATTTGGTTTGAGAGCGGAATATATTCATGCTTATGAGCACCCCCTAAATAATGATCAGCGCTCTCTGACCTCATGTGTGTTTCACATACGAAGAGCGCCAGCTAAGCAATGCACACAGTCCCACTTATTGAATCGTTTGAATGCGCTAGTATGCCGACCATTTCATAAAAACGATTCAATGAATGAGACTGTGTGCGTGGAAATCATTGCTCCGCTACCGCTGTTCGTATACGGGTGAAACACGCGTGTGGTTACAGAGCGCTCAGTAAGCTACCCTGCAAAACTCGAATGACCGAAACTAGAACACATTCACACAAATTTTCGATTGTCACTAATACATAAATAGTACATGTAAGAATTCGCTACGAAAAAGTCTTAGAATGAAACAACATCTTAAAATTTTTCAACTGTTTTAATATATCTTATTCACTCGCACACGTTGCATGCATAGGGATGGTGAAATTATGCGAAAAGAAAAATGAACAGAACACAGCAATCGTGAGTTGCAATTAATTTGTGAATTGTGCGGCTTGACGTTCAGTCATTTTAATATACCTATACATTTATTTCAGCGGTGGAAAATATATTTAAAGTATATATAAAAGCTTTGTGTGCCTTCGTTCCAAATAGAAGTAAGTAAAAATTGCGATAAAAGTTGTTTTTAAACCGTGTATATTTAATGCATCTTTTATTGTGCAGTTCCAATTAAAAATTTGTGAATTCTGCGGCTCGGCTTTCGGCCATTTTTATTAAAATTGCATTTTGCATTCAGCGTGGAAAATCAGCTTTGTGTGCCTTTGTTCCAAACTTACAAGTAAGTAAAAATAGCGATAAAAATTGTTATAAAACTATGTATAATTATTGTGTCTTTTATTTTGCAGGTCCAGTCCAGTTTTTGTGTGCAGCATTTTCGTTCGGTGGTGGAAAATCGGTTGCGAAGCTTAATATTTGCAAGTAAGTACTGTATTTTACAAATAAAAATGAAGAGAAGTACTTTTTATAATAATTTGAGTGCTGAAAAGAAAAGTTGTGAGAGAAGTGCAGAAAAAATATAAAAGGCTGCCCCAATTTGCCGATTCGGATTGGGGCGAG